TCTCACAATGACCCCCTAAGCGAGGTACTTCCGTTATCCCCATTTTACAGATGGGGAAACCTGAGACTCCCGGTGTGACTGCAATATTGCACACAGTTAAAGGACAGAGGCAGAGCTCGAACCCTAGCCTAACTTGAGAGCTCAAGCTCTCAACTCCAAAATACCTAAGCGTGCAGACTTCAGAGGTGATGGGGGCTCAAACCGGACTGACTTGGTGATACAGCCAGCCATGGAACCTGACTTCATAATGCAGCAAGAGAGAACATGGCAAGAGAGGAGACCCAGGAGAACCCAGGGCGGTAAAGGAGCCCTCACCTAGCCCAAGAATTACAGTCTACCGACACAGTCTACCGAGGGGGTCAAAGGAAAGTTCTCCACCCCTCCTGAGACCTCGATTAGTCCTCTCCTTTCCCTGAAAATAGAATCCCAACCACTCCCCACTCATCTCTGTACTCTCCAGGGCCTTCCTGAAATGAACTCTTACCTAGGAGCTGCATGTGCAGGCTGAAGGCTTCAACCCACGTTTCTGGAGCCAAGCAGAAAAAGGCTCTGAAACAGACAGCGAGCACTGTTGAAATGACCCACTGAAGACTGACAGGTGGAAGAAGAATGAAGGCGGGCAGGGGAGGCCAAGGAGGCTCGGCCTGTCGGAACACAACCGAAACTCAGTCCTGAATGGACTCCAACAAGAACATAACTTTAAACAGCAAATCAGGCAACGTGCCTTGTTTCCAGGCGTAAGGAGCCCCGCCTTCCCTTCCCATTGACGCACACTGCTATAGCAGGAAGCCCTAAGACTCGGCAGGGTAAAGGGCCACGTACATCCGTATGGAATACAGTTCCACCACGTGATAACGTCCCCCGGTGTCAGGGCCGTTGCTCGGATCACCCGCACTCATTCAGGTGACTTGGCACACAACTCCGAGATAAAAAAGAACGTTTGCCACATTTGCCTGCCAAGGAAATAGGAGTGTTCCTCACTAGAACCTCTACCTCTATCAGAATTCTCCGGATGCAAGTAACAGAATGGAACTTTAGCTAAGAGTTTAGTGATTAAGAGAGCAGACTCTGGGCCCAGACCACCTCTGCAAACCACAAACCCTGGCTCTGTGGCTGACTACTTCTGCGGCCTTGGCAAAGTCACTTAATCTCTCTGAGCCTCAGTCTCTCTGAGCGCAAAACAGGGATGAGAGAAATGTAAATGAAAACCGAAAGACACGGTCATAGTTGCGAAAAGTCTGTTAATATGCTGCACTGGTGAGGATGTAGGGAAGACAAACACTAGATCACATATCTACATATGTATACACATGTATACATATACGTGTATACACATGTATACATATACATGTACATATACATGTATATACATGTATATACATATATATACTCTACATATGTATACGTATACATGCACACACGCACGCACACACACACACACTCTGCTCCAAACTCTATGGAAGACAATTTGTCCCTCTTAAAACTAACAATACATATATCCTTTGATTCAGCATTTCTGCTCCTAGACATTACCGTAGATATTATACGTGAAAATCTCATGTGTTAGGGTATTCATTTCAACATTATTTGTGAAAGCAGAAAACTGAAAACAGTAGGAGACTGAGTAACTAAATTATGAAGCCACACTATGAGAAACCATGCCATCACTTATAAGAATGTACCAATATGGAAAGACCTCTAAGATGGAGTGCTATTCATTTGAAAAACAACACCTGGCAAGGGCGTTTGTAGGCAAGGCAATTAGGCAACGGTTTGCAAAGGGGGGGGGCAGCTCGTTCGGGGAACGATGTTAAGCCAGGGAAACATATTGTTGTCAATTTCCCATAAGAAATAATGGAAACTCAGATGATTCATTCCACAACCCCAAAATATTCATATAAAAATGATTACAGGGTAAGCCTGGGTGTCAAACCATGTTAAGGACCGAACTTCAGCTCAGGTCATGATCTCACGGGTCCGTGGGACCAGGCCGATCGAACTCTGTGCCTGACCAACTCAGAGACCTGGACCTGTTCGATTCTGTGATGTCTCCCATCAACTCTTTGCCTTCCTATTCAAATACTCTGTCAATAATCTCTGTCTCAAAAATAAATAAAAAAATTAAAAAAAAATGATTACAATGCTGTAATATAATACAAAGTAATAAAATACAAAAGATAAAGAAAAATAAACAGATTAACCAGCACTTACCTTGGAAAACCTTCGTGGCTGGTGTGAGGGAGACCAGAGAGAGGAGGGTTACCGTGTAGGACGACTTTCACTATCACTAACGGAATCACTGCTGTCTGTTGGCTCAATGGAATCTTTTTCTGCATGGGGGCCATTGTATACGCTCTCACAGATGTTGAGGACGGAACAGTATTAATAAACATTTGTCATTTACTGTATTTAATGTAACTGGCAATAAGGCAGCAGAGGAAAGGGTCTATATCCGCAGGCAGCCTGACCTAGAAGGAAGCCAAGCTTTCCTAAGCTTACTCTTGTATGGAAAAGCAAAGGACTGTCCATCGATGCTTCGAAGTGACAAAAAATACACTACTGCCAGTCGTGGGCACCTTCCAACATCCTGAAAAATCACTGATTTCTGCCAAACACCATGGCCTGAGATACCTGAGCATGGGAAACAATCACCCACAATCCCACAGTGAGAGAGACAGACAGAGAGACAGAGACAGACAGACAGGGAGGAGAACCAATGGCTCGGTTGTGATCCTGTGACATTCAGCATCAGGTACCACTCATATTGCAAGACCTCGCTCCTTCATCAAGTCAAAACTTATTAGAAAGGTTTGCTCATCTTAGGGGACACGCGCAGAACAAGTTGTGCGCTACCCAAGGTTTTACTATCTAGAGAATATCTCTAGAAAAGGACAGAAAAAAAAAATCGTGAAGGGTGTTAGGCCCCAGGGAAGGGAAAAGGGTGGCAGTGGGAATGAGTGGGGACTTCTGTGCTTCTATACTTTGGGAATCCTGCACCATGGACACGTGCTGGCACACAGTCCTGAAAGAGCTCACCGCATGTGCACAGAGCAGGCCGGCTAAGGCAACGCACCTCACCCTACAGCAGCTAGGAGAGTGCGTCCACAACGTAACGCGCAGATGCTGTCGGAGGAGGGAAAAGCGATGCCGGACAGGCAGAAACAGTGTGTCCTCCTCAACATGAGAGAGCCCGATATTGACACATCGGGCCCAAGCCCACGGTGGAGGAAAGGGTCCAGAGCAGCATTCACGTCCGCATTTTTTGCTACGGGCACGTCCAGATGAAAGTTGGTAGGAGCACTAGAGAAGGCACGGCCACCGGGAGACTTGGGAATGGTGGCACACACTGGACTGGGAACTGGGCAATCTGGGCTCTGGGTCCGCCAGTATTCGGCTCTGCGGCCCCCGGACAAGCCTCTGGGCCTTCTGAGCCCTTCCTTTTCCAAAAGGAGAATGCCATGCCTTGATACGGCATGCCTCGAAAGAAACTAAGCAACGATGAATCCGACCGCGTGCGTCTCTGCTGCCAGTTTCTTTTGGCAGTTTCTTTTTGGCCAGTTTCTTGTGAGGAATAAAGAGATATCAGAGGGGAAGCCTCTTTAAAAACCACGAAGCCCGTTGGTTTTGCCGGCGAAGCGTCACTTGGGTGTGACTATCAGAAGGGTCTCTCGTGAGATGAAACGGTAGCCCCAGAATGGCATTTCTTCATCTCATTCATATGGAGAGGGAATGGTGGCCTCTAAGTTAACTTAAGACCTGAGATTCCTGAACAGAATCAGAGTCAAGGCAACCCCACAGAAGCCCACGTCCGACGAACAAACTCAGAGAGAGTTATTAATCACTCAAGAATTAGCACACGGTGACTCAAGAGTAATAAAACCGGTCACTGGAAAATAATAACATCACAGAGAGGGAAAGAATGAGGGTCCAGCGGAAATCTATACATGAAGGTGGGAGAGACCCGAGTGAATAGCCACCGTTTACGTTCCGAACATTTACTCAGTGTTTCAAGTGGTGTGGCCGACGTGCCAAAACGCGGTGGCGAAGAGGGGACAGTATGGAGTGTCCAAGCACTAATGTGGGGCCATTAGCCAAAGAATGGGGAGATATGCGTGGGAAAGTAACTAGTCTAGTTCAGCAGTGGAAATGATAGATTACCACACCCGCTATCCTGCACCAAATCGAATAACTCATGAATGACACTTTGGCTGTATTTCAAAGTACTTTCATGCACGTATTTCAGTCCTCAAAACTGCCGCCTCTACAAGAGACAGTGGAGTTGTCATTTCCTCCAGAATACAATTCCCGTACCAAAAATAATAATAATGATGATAATGATAATGATAATAAGAGTAATAAAATGAGATGTACCTAAGGTTCCGAAACGGAAGAGAATCTTAAATGGTTCGCCCATGGGGAGAACCAGCCCCTGACGGAAATCCAAAATTATTTGGCTGGTGTTCCGTTTGTGAGAAACAAAGAGCTTGATGGGCAAACATCCACTCATCTGTAATGAGGTCTTCTGCAAGGTCTTGTGCAAATGCGCAGAGTTGCTTATTTCCTGTCCTCAGGATGCAGACGGGTCTTGACATTAGTGCAAATAATCTAATTTTGACTTGTGTCCTCTTTGCCAATGAAGATGATAAAATAGTTTTCTTTCTATTTTTAGTTGCACGTGATTACGACTGGCCTTCCAGGACTATGACAGGAAGGCATCATGAAAGGGGGAAGGCCCCGTATCTTGCAAAGAAATGCATTAGAAACGGGTCCTTGCTAATCTTCCTAATCTGATCTCTCGCTACTGGACTCACACGGACCACTCTCCATCCAGTCTAATCAAGTTTGGGAGCAGATTTTGTGTTTTCCCACTACAATGTCTCTGCTTCTCGCATCTCTGAATATCCTCCAACCATCTCCATCTATCAAAACCCTTCGTATTCCCGAAGGCCTACGTCGGAATCCACTCTCCCCTTTGATTTTGCTTCCTCTGAATTACTTACAGCCTTGTGCTTTATCAACCTGGGAGACAGAAGTCCTGGCTTTTTGTAGAACTTCACACTTATCTGCACAAAGTGGAGCAGGCGAATGAGGAAATGACTAGAATGAAGAATGGAAATTTCTTTCCTGATGCCACTCTATTGAAATAGGTTGCAGATATAATTGCTGTCCAAATATTTTAGGGTACAGCCCATAGAAATGTCTCAGTGTGGAATGATAAAAACAAAAATGAGAAAGGGGCAGATTCTGACGTTTCAGATTTAAAAGATAGAAAGTAAGGGTCTTAACACCATACCCTTTTTTATGAGAACATTCTACTCAATTTCCAGGTTTTGCAGACCGCTCAATAAAGGGGTCAGTTTCTTTCAGAGGTCTTACTTGCACCTCCACCCAAAATGTAATCAAGGCTATTCTAATCTAGACAGAAAACAACACTGCTTAACTAACTAAACGAATTAAGCCGGATTCTTTCTCCCGTCAAAGGAAAAAAACCTAAAAAAAAATTTTTTTAATGCGTATTTGTTTTTGAGGGGGGGTGGGAGGGGCAGAGAGAGAGAGGGAGACCCAGAATCCAAAGCAGGCTCCAGGCTCCAAGCTGTCGGCACAGAGCCCGATGCGGGGCTCGAGCTCACGGACCTGAGAGATCATGACCTGAGCCGAAGTCAGACACTTAACTGACTGGGCCAACCAGGTGCCCCGGAAAAAAAACTTTTAAAGACCGATCCTGAGAACCACAGCAGGCCATCCTATGCTAGTTAGGCCTAGCTATGCGGATGCCATATATATTTACTCTGTCTCAAGACAAGAGACAGGCAGAACACTCCAGAGCAACCAGTCAGAAGACCTTGGGGTCGACAGCGAACACTACCTATTTCTCTTCTTCTCTCTTCACAGTCGTAGGCGAAAAGAGAGGGGAAATCTTCAGCCCCCAGTGGCATCCACACCGAAATCCTGTGTTCCGATCCCCCCACTTCACCCCAAGGGCCAGGTTCTGCCTCCTGGACTCAGCGACAGCAGTTCTCCTGCTTGTGAAATTACGACCAAACTTTTCCTTTTGTTCCAGCAAAAGACTTCCTGCGAGAAAGCAGTAATCCTTTAAAGCTTTCCAGCCCAAAGGTCTCTCCTGGTTTGGATTCCCCCATCCCCAGCCCCCAGAGGAAAAGCTCACTCAATCACATCACAAGGCATTTCTCGGTTCCAAGTTGTACTGGGTCTCAAGGACTCCTGGTGAGGAAAGAAAACTGGTCATCTGAACATCCTTTCCTGGGATCCGTCTGAAGTGTAGACAAGCAGCAAAGATGAATATTAATATGCCTTCCATCATCAAAAGCTGTTGCATACCCAAAGGATGATAAATATTTTAATCAGTTTTCAGCTTGTCTAGCGGAAGTCAGTTTACTCCTCAGAGATTTCCCTAGTTCTGTGCCCAAAAACTGTCCAGCACATACTGCTTTCCCTATATAACTTTTGGAAATTGGTAATAAAAAGTCCAAGCTTTGTGGGAGAACTCATTTAATTTCTTGACAGTTTGACTCTATTAAGTTTTCCAAGAAGAGGGAAATCTAAAATATCAGGGATGCCGACGAGCGAGACAAAACACCACAATTCTAAGTTCTGGGAGCAGTGTTGCTAATAACCTACTTACGTCTCACGCTTAAAACATTTTTTTCCTTCATATTTGCGTAAGTTGTCTGCCAGCGGCCGCTCGGTCTTCTCCGTGTAAATGCCAAAGGCATAAAACAGGACATTCTCATGCGTCCTCTGTACTCTCGATATTATTATTATTATTATTTTTTATTTTTTTTCAACGTTTATTTATTTTTGGGACAGAGAGAGAGACAGAGCAGGCAGGGGGGGAGGGAGCGCAGAGCAGGGACAGAGATAGAAGAACAGGCTCCGAGCTGGCCATCAGCCCAGAGCTGCACAGAGCTCTAACCTTGGACAGCGAGTCCTGACCTGGCTGGTCAGATACAACTTAACTCATCATGCCCCACCTGTCGATATTATTATTTTTTAAATGTTAAAGGCATTTGGGGGTATTGTTGGGAGGGTTACATTTGTTTAAAAATAAAACTGACCCCCCCCCAGAATATTCCCTCTGACTTGGGATATATTTGAAATGTACAGAGTTGAAAGGGATTGATTAAAGACCATGCTGCTTCCCGTGGGCGTGAGGAAATGGCTGGACTCATATGTGGACCTAACATCGATTCATTTCTTCAACGAGTAAGTGTCGGGGACCTACGCTGCACCAGACACTGTTGTAAGAGTTGGAGACATTACAGCGGATAAAACAAAGTCCTTCTCTCCCAGGGACCATATTAGGTAGAAGCAGATAACAAACAAGTATCCTGGCAGATGGTAGGAAGCGATGGGAAGCAAGGTGGAATCGGGCAAGGCATTCCCTATCGTAAGAAGCTCTCTCCAAGGAGTGACATGAGCAGAGAGACAGGAATGGAGGGAGGAAGTGAGTCATGCAAATTAACAGAGGGCAGAATATTCCAGACAGAGGCAACGGCGAATGCAAAGACCATGATGCAGGAGGAGGCTGGGCGTGTTCCTGAAGACAGTAAGAAGGCGAGTGGAGGACTGGGACGGAGGGGAAATAATGTACGGGGTGGGGGTGGACAGACCCTGCAGGGCACTGGGCCCCGATGCAAGGAAGCTGGATATCTGCACTTGATAGTGAGTTTGGGCCGGGGGAGTGAAACACCAGACTTTGTATTTTAAAGGAACACTCTGACAGGGATGGACATAGGGTGGTAATAGCAGAGAGACTATTTCTATAAATGATGGTGGTTCTCATCAAGGCAGCAGCACAGGGGATGGTGAAAGGTGGCCAGATCATGAATATCTAGAAAACAGAGTTAACAGGATTCGCCGATAAATCAAGAGATAAGCCAAAAGAACCCCAAGGTTATAGGCTGAGCGACTGGACAGTGCAAATTACTGCCCTGTGTGATACTGGGAGAAAGGCTGGGGGGTTATGGGAATCAAGAGTTTGGTCTGAGGTATGTTAAATTTGAGACATTATCACTAGACAGCTAAACACAGCCCCCCTTGCCCAACTACTGTTCAGGTCTCCAAGACAGGAGACCCTACTGCAGACATTGGAACATCCCATCAACCCCATCCGTTAAAAAATTCACTGTTAACTGCATGAAAAGTTGATGACATTAAATAAAATACAAGCCCTCTTAATCCCCCAACATCTGTTAGAGATCTGATGCATAATTCTGGGTATTTCATAATTGCACATTTAAATTAATAATATTTAAAGTAAAGGGATGTGTAATATCAGCCTACCACCTGTTCCAAGTCCTCATAGCAGAGCAGATATGCCTGTAACAGTAGAAATTAATTTTGAATATTTCCATAATACTCCAGATTTTTATTTGAAGGCTAATTTTGTCAATCAGTCCAAAACAAGGTGGATGTTATCTGAGATTTTTATACACATCAAGGAAACATTTACAAATGAGATTGTCACAGGTGGTTCCAGATGGGCTGAGATCATGTAGAGGAAAGACAAAAAAAGTCCATCATAATTTACGTGTTAGGGGAACGATGGTGTTAAAAACATCATCTCCAAATGATCACAGAGATACTTTCAGGAATACTGAAAGGGCAACGTATCAAGTTTCCCTTGGTTTAAAAAAAAAAAGGTCATTCTTTTGCAGATGTCAACAAAAAGAGAGCAGGATCATGGTTATGTTACCCTTAATGCACGGAAGAGCTGACTTAATGTGTTCCCAGAGCTCTCTGGTAAGTCAGATTTTGGCACTGGGAGCACATTTCTCCATAGAGACATTTTTGCAAAATATGGAAAGATTCCCAGCCCGGCTTCCCAAAGTATTTAGCCCACAGTGGGGTAGAAACATTACCAGAGTAGCACTGAGCTTCAATTCATTGAGTCCCTCTACCTCCAAGACTGACCCCGGTTGTAAAGGAAGGGAAATGAGGAAAAGGAAGAGAGTGTGTCACTAAGGGGAACTCAGTCAAATGACCTCTAAGTAAGGGCTCCTAAACTGAGGACTGTCTACGCTTCCTTCTAAAATCACTACTTTGGTGACGCCTTGCGTGTGTGCAGTATTTTATGTGTTACCGACTTTTTCATTTGGTCATCGTAATAATTTTCTTCAGAGGGTTAACAGTTTTAGGGACCATTCACGAACCAACCTGGGGAAAAAGAGATCCTATAATCTTGAGAATATTCCCAACAGCTGGCACACATCCTTGGGAAATCTTGCCTTTCTTTCAAAACTGTAGGTTTGCTGATTTGTTTCTAACATAACTTCCTTCTAGACAAAGATTCTTCTGGAATATCTCAAAGGTATTTATAATAAGATAAAGGACAGGCTAGAGCTGACGGTAATGCCCCCCTCCCCACCTCACCCCCGGCCAAAAGGACTAGAGCAAATAAGGTACACAATTATTTTATGCCATATCTCTTCCAGGAAAAAACAAACCAAAACGGAAATTACTGACACTCCCATCTGACACCAGGGGTTCCGATTCACATCTGAAATGCTGTGATGGGCTCCTAGTCGAAGGAATCCAAAATAAATTCCAGCAGCCAAGGCTACAATAGCACCCCAGGGTAAAGTAGCAGGATCTTCACACATCAATCTGAATCCTAGTGTCGCTAAAATTATTTAAAACAACCCCATTTGTCTATCGGAAAGAAAACAGAACACGTGTGAAAGGTGCATGTGTGCGTGCGCTGACGTGTGTCTGTGTGTGTGTGTGTAGATCTAACACAGGCTAGCGAAATGGAGCTAAAGCCTATGGAATCAAATCAAGGCTAAAACAGCAACCTTGGTTGTTTATTCCAGTTTTTCTCTGCACACGCTAACAAGAGTTAAGAGAAATGGCAAGCCTTTCACTTGGAATTTCCAGGCTCCCGTCACTGTGTCTCACCATGTTCGGTGCTTTTCGCCTTGTTCCTATTGTGTGCAGAGCAGAGGCACCTGAGCCATCCTCTTAACATGCCGGGGATGTAACAGGCACATCCTAGTACTTGGTGCCAATAGAGCTCAAGTCTCACACAGCTCATGTAAGGGTT